GGTGGTTTGCCTTCCTCAGTGCCCCGTGCCAGGGGCTGGGAGCCGTGGTGGGTGGCCTGGAGCGCAGGGGCTTCAATGTTGTCTGCAGCAGTCACCTCGGCTAGCGAGGCCATCTCTGGGGATAGCTGCTCAGCCATAGGGGTGGCCTGGAATGGAGAGGGGGAAGCTGGTTGTCCCTCGGTCTTGCTACTCCACTGCCTCTCTGGTTTGCTTCTCTCTGCAAGTCCCCCACCTCCTGGCATGTGGGTCCTTGTGGGGCTCCATGTAGAGGGGCTGGGGGGACCATGGCAGCTGCCTTCCCTTCTCCAGTGCCTCCCTCCCCAGCAGCCTCAGCCAGCTGGGGCTGATCAGCCACACACGGTCCATCTACCCCTCTGCTCTCCCATCCCCAGCCTTTCCCCCCCAGCACAGACGAGTGGCTCCTTCCCAGCCCTCCTGCCCACACACAGTCCCACACGTAGCCCTAGCCCCACTTCTGCCCATACAGGTAAACCCAGGGGACTTGCCTCTGGCTGATGTCGTGCTCCTGGCTGCCCAGGACCGACCTGGGTCCTGCAAGTCACAGTGAGCAGGGCCAAACCCGCTGAGCTCCTGGAGCGTGAAATGTTGCTACGTGACTGCAGCTCTCCAGGGCCGCTCCGGGGCACGGCTCCTGTAACTCCTTGTTTCCTGGTCCCTAGACAGCCTCGTCCCTTCACTCCTGTCCTGTCTGTGTTTCCAGCTGTACCAGCACAGGGACACTGCTGTTCCAGACATGAGCCCTCCAACCTTGGCTGCTCCCTGCCAGCCCTGAAAAATGCTTTTTGGTGTTGAATGTGCAAAGGAAGAACAGGGGATGAAGACCAGCCACTGTGATCACTGCTTGGCACCTCAACCATGGGCTGCATCAGGGCTGGGGCCCCCAGCTGACTGATTTTACCCAAAGGTTTGGATCCTTCAGGTACTTATTGCCCCTGCACCAAGGGAGAGTGCAGCCGGGAGGGTATCCAGCACGTGCAGCCCCATCATGGGCCGGGCACCCTGCTGCCGCAATGCCCTGGTCCAAGGGCAGGTTTGCTGGGGCTTTCTGACCCCGAGCCGGGTTTCTCTCTGCTGGCGGAGCCCAGCCCAGCTGGTATGCCACGACTGCCCTGTCAATGCGCCTTTGTCTGGCTGCTGAGCTATTTGAGGAAAGTGGAGACGGCTTTTGTGTTGCCATCTCCCGTCAGAGGTATTTATAGCCTGCTGCTGACTAGCGCTGCCAAGCACGCTGGCAGCTGGACCCCACTCCGTCGGGTGCTGCCATTAGCTGTGGGCCCCGCTGCTCCTCCCTCTCCCTCCCACCGCCACTGACCAGCAAAGGTGGGTCCCTCCGTGGGCACCCTCCCCGCATCCCCGGGCTGCTTGGGAGCAAGGGGGCGGCGCATCCCCTGGCACAGCGCTTGGTTTGGGCTTCGATGAGGCTGGTTATGCTTTTTCTGCCTGCGATAGCTTGTGGTCTAAGCAGCCATGAGAGCCGCAGCGCCTTGGCCTGGAGCATCAGGAGGAGAGAGGGCTGTTGCCATTTCAGGGGCAGATCTCGCTGCGGGGCTGGAGTCTGCTCTGGAGCTGGACACCCAGCCCTGCCCAGTGGCTTTCCGTGGGGGCTGCGCGGGAGGAGGTGGGGGTGATCTTTGTGCACATAACCCGGGCATGGGTTCCCTTTCCCAAACTCCCCGCCGCCTTGCCTCCCTTTGCACCCATCCACCCGATCCATGAGCTTCACCGCCCGCC